GGGGGGGGGTTAGAGAGAGAGAAAAAACAACTCCATAAGAGAAAGACCTGGAAACCTCCTTCCATAAAGATTCCAGCCTAGGGAAAACTCTATGGGGCAGTTCTACTCTGTTCTACAGGTTCATTATGAGTGACAGAATCACCTCATTGTTCCCCAACAACAATATGAGCGTGCAACTAGAGGAGAGCTAGGCAGAAGCCAAAAATGCCCAAGGGAATATGAACTCACTCTGGGAATTCAGTAAGCCTGAATGGAGACAGAGTAGGGACTTTGAGGAACAAGGGCTCCTGGGGAAGAGAGAGACAATTATTCAGAAGGTACATAGGCAGATGGCAGGCTCTGAATTCCAGCAACCCAGATGTTCTAGGCTTTCCCAAAATCCTGGAAGAATATAATTCAATGACAACTGCTGTCAGCCCATGGCCCTCCCTTGGGAGCATCGGGGCTCAACTAGGCAGCACTTACCACTTGAATGATTGTAGCGGTTCTGCAGGTACTTCAGCTCCACCTGGAACGTCTGCTGCCAGCCCCTCAGCAGCTGGGTGTACCTCTCCCAGTGATCAGGCGCGAGGTTCTCCGCCATCCACGGTGCGCGGGGCTCCTTCTGCCGAGTGACACTGTCGTAGGTGGTGATAGGGTGAGAGTCCACATAGCCCACCGAAATAAATTCGGGGATCCCATGTCCAGGATCAGAAACTCCCAGTCGAAAATATCTCAAAGAGTGAGTCCCTGGAGGGAAGTAACCAAAGAAGGAGATACTTAGTGTCATAGAAAACCAAATCTATAAAATCCGTTCTGTGGGATCACCGTGTCAGGACTCCAAAGTCAGCTACATTCATCAACCACAGGCCTCAGCTGGTTTCCTCTTACAGAATTTAAAAAAAAACAAAACCAGGAAAATAAAAAACCCACCCACCGCTGTAATTGTTATGTGGTGTCAAGTTGGTCATAGCTGCCCCTGCAGTGAGTTTTCAGAGGCTGTAAATCACCCATCTTTCTCTCACTGAGCGGCTAGTGGGCGCTGCCTTTGCATTGGCAGTCTATCTCCTTCCCCACTAGGCCACCAGAGCTCCCTCGTGACCCCAGAGCACCGAGGAAAACCACTGGGTTTCCAAAGTTGAAAATCTTCATGAAGGCAGATGGTCACATCTTTCTCCCAAGATGTTGCTGGTGTGTTCAAGTTACCCACCTTTTGGTTGGCAGCCAACAGCTTTAACCACTATGTTACCAGCCCTCCCTTTATACATATCCAGGACCTGGAAGAGTTTTTCAGGACTACCCCATTTTGAGCTTCCCACCCACCCATTCAAGTTTGAAACCCTTAGTTCAGATGATGTTTTACAGATACATGAAACAGAACAAAGGGGGACTCATTTCTTTGAGGCACAGGCTGCAGTGGGCTTCCATTGAGAGCGCTGCTCTGAGAAAGCTTTCACTCTATGGGCTTGAGACCTCAGTAACACCACAGCCTTATTTTACTGAAGGGGCCTGAAAGAATAGGTTAAGCACTCCACAGTTTGAGATTACCGGGGATGTGGCAGTCAGCTTCGGTAAAGATTTACAGCCTTGGAAGCCCTATGGAACAGTTCTATTCTGTCCTAAAGAGTCTATAGGGTCATTATGATCAACTCAATGACAATTGTTGCTATTGTTGCTAAGTGCTTTTGAGTTGGGTATGACTCATAGTAACAGGTTATTTTACCAAAGAAGGTTAAAGTGGATTAATGAACATACCCCTACCCTCACCCTCAGTGCATATGAGCAAGGACCCATCTACTCACACACAGACATGCATATGTGTATGAACACACACAGATGTACCATGCCAGCCAGAATAAGAACCAGCAAAATGTTTCAGGCCATTTGAGGAACAAAAATCTTTTAAAGTGCAGTTCTTTCCTTATCATGCCAAATTACCTCTAAAATGCATTTTCTTAATATTTTACTTTTGTTCTCTGGCCAAATAGCACAACAAAGATTGTGAATAACACCAGAAGTACAACAAACTAAATTTCTTCCATACATCACTAAACACTATGATCATGGATTCTATTGAAGGATTCAGAAGATGTGTCCTGATCAGAGGGGGTTGGGGGGAAAATGAAATACATTATTTCAATTACTTATACAGAAATTCAAGCCTCAAGTTGCAGTAGTGAAGGATTATATGGGGGGAAATGCTGAGCGATGCAAGACACATCAAAAGCAGATAGAAGGAATACAGAGTCATTTTACCAAAAAAACTGTTTGATAGTCAATCATTTCAGGAGATAACATGTGATCAAGAACTGAAGGAAGTAGTTCAAGCTGCATTGAAGGAATGGCAGTGGGGGCTGGGGGTGGAAGAGAAGACTTTAGAAATTGAAGAACTGCTAATTGAAATGTTTCAACAAACAGATGTGAAACAGATGGGTGGCGCTCACCCATCCATGCCAGGATATTTGGCAGACAGTAACTTAACCAATCATCACTTGTCTTTCAGTTTGCTGTACTATGGCAGTTTATGTGCTACAGTGATGCTAGAAGATACATTACCAGTATTTACATACCAGCAAGGTAACCAGATCACCTGTGGTGAACAGGGTTCAGTGTTGCTTCTTAGGTAAGATAAACAAAGGACTAACCATCCATTGCTGAAAGAATGGGGCCTTGAAAGCCCTATAGATAGTAGCAGAACACTGTCCACTATCATACTAGAAGATGAAGCCTTCAGGTTGGAAGGAACTCAAAATAAGACTGAGAAACAGCTGGTTCCCCAGAGAAGGGTCTATCTTACTGATGCAGATGGAGTGAAACTTTTGTCCCTCGAAGACCTTTTTCCCCCCCTGATGTGGCAAGACCCAAAATGAGGAGAAACAGCTGCAAATATCCATTAATAATTGAAAAGTAGAATGTGTAAGTGTGAATCTTGGGAAATTGGAAGTTGTCAAAAGTGAAATGGAACTAATAAATAATCTGCTAGACATTAATGAGTTGAAATGGACTGAAATTGACCATTTTTGAATCAACCATATTCCAGAAATGCCAAATTAAAAAGGAATGATGTTGAATTAATCATCATCACAGTCAAATTTATCCCATCTGAATTTAAAAACCATCACAAGATGAATGAAAATCTAACTTTTCTCTAAACTTTTATTTATATAATAATAAAAGCCCCAATCATCTCAAGAACAGATCGGATTTGGTACATTGAACATTAATAGCAACTAAAGCAGGACAAGTTGTGGGATGACATGAAAGACACCAAACAGGAAAGAAAGAAAAGACCGAAATGGGTGTCAAAAAAGACTTGGACTTGCTCCTGAATAAAGAGAAGCTAAAGGAAGAAATGATGGCATAACAATGCTGAACAACAGATTTCAAAGGACAGATTGAGAAGAGAAAGTATTATAATGAAATGTGCAAAGATCTGGAAATAGAAAACCAGAAGGGAAGAATACACTTAGTATTTCTGAAATGGGAAGAACTGAAGGGAAAGATCCAAGCCTTGAGTTGTAGTACTGAAGAAATCTATGGGCAAGATATTGAATAAAACAGTAAGCATCAAAAGAAAATGGAAAGAATATACAGAGACACTGTACTAAAAGGACTGGTTGACACTGAACTATTTAAGGATGGAACATATGATCAAGAACCAAAGGTACTGAAGGAAGAAGTCCAAGCTGACAAAAAATATTGGCAAAAAATAAAGCCCCAAGAATTTACAGAATAACTGTTGAGATGTTTTAAACAAAGAGATTCAGCCTTTGATGTGCTTATTCCTCTTAACTCAGAAATTCAGAAGACAGCTATCTGGCCAACCAACTAGAAGAGATTTCTAGTAGTGCTCATCCCCCCAAAAAGGCAATCAAAGAGAATGCAGAAATTTTAAAACAAAATCAAGAATACCTAAAGCAACTAAAATATTGCTGCAGATAATTTAGAAATGGCTAGAGCACTATATTCCAGGGGACCAGTCTGACTCAGAAGAGACCTCTTAGAATGAGAGGTATCACTGCTGATTTTAGACAAATCTTGATTGAAAGCAGAGAATACAAGAAAGATGTTTACTTGCTTTATTATTGATTATGGAAAGGCATTTGACTCTGTGGATGATAATAAATTATGGATAACATCGAGAAGACTGGGTGTTCCAGAACACTTAACTGTGCTCCTGTGGAACCTGTACATGAACCAAGAAACAGTCATTCATTCACAATAAAGAGCTATTGTATGGTTTAAACGAGGGAAAATATGCATCAGGCTTGTGTTCTTTCAGCAAATCTACTCAATCTCCATGAACAAATAATCCAAGAAGATGGACTATGTGAAGAAGAACACAACATCAGAATTAAAAGATGATTCATCAACAATCAATGCTATGTGGATGATACCATTTTGCTTGTGAAGAGGATTTGAAGCACTTACTGAAGAAGTTCAGAGGCTCCAGCTTCGGTATGGACCCCACAACAACATGAAACAAAAACCCTTACAACAGACAACATCAAGATAAGTGGAGAAGAAAATTTAAGTTGTCAATGACTTCATTTTACCTGTGTTTATAACGAATGCCTATGGAAATAGCAGTCAAGAAATCAAACAATCTGCTGTCAAGGACCTCTTTAAAGTGCTAAAGAGCAAGGAAACAAGTTTTAAAAGTATGTTGCACCTGCCCTAAGCCACGGTGTTTTAAATTCATTCGTAAGCATGTGAAATTAGATAATGAATAAGGAAGAATTTATATCTTTTAACTGTGGTGCTGATGGCAAAATGTATTGAGAGCACCCTGGTGGCCTAGTGGTAAGGAATTGTGCTGTCAACCTGAAGGTATACCTTTTTTTCCCCCTTTCTACTAGTTTATTTACAAAACTCGAATACAAATTCAAACAAATTCTTTAAATTTCCCTCACCCCCCACCCATCAAATTGTACAACTTAACGATTAATCCCTCTCCCCCTGCACAGCTACATCCCTCTGCTTCCAGCCTCTCCCAACTCCTCCTGGAACTTTATATTCATTCTACAATAATGGTTTTATACAATATTTATCCTTGTGGGACTGAGTTAGTTCACTCAGCCTAATGCTTTCCAGTCCCTCCAAAGTCAGGTAATAATTTACAAAGTTATTGCTCCTGTATGC